GCATTATTTTGTTATAAAAGTCTCAAGTAATTGCAAAGAAAATATGCAAAAAATATTTACTTTGTTAAATATGACACAACCAGATGATGCAATGTGTCCCACAGATCAATAACACTATTTCTGCCTCTGAAGATACTCAATCCTGAATTATCTGAATTATTATTGCTGTCAAGGTCACATGATAGAAATAAGATACTTCATTGGGGTATAGCTCTGCTCATTGGCTGATGAAATATGTTGTAATATGTACAAGCTGTCCCTAACAGATTGTTTGCGCCTGATGGAAGTTATGAAGAGAGAGTGGGAATTAGAAGAAATGTGACCATAAGCTTTTTAGTGAAGGGATGAGTAGGACTATATGCTGGTATTTCAAATAAAAAGAATATTTAGAGAGTGAATAATATCAAACTAAAAGATAAGGCATTAACTGTACAATTTCATAATTGGAGGTTGATGAATATATCAGCAAAACTAGGGATAATATACAGATAGATATAGAAATGGATTAAACAAGTACTCCTCCAGAGACAAATATGAAATTTCTTTTTTGCTGCTTGACCTCTGTAATAAGGGGTTGAGGTTCTGCAGATGAAACATAGCAATAATCCTGGGAATTTTGAATGACTGGCTGTTGCAGTGTTTACACTCCTTAGATTTATGGAACATGGGATTCTCAAGGGTGTTCTTGTCATGAAAGTACCTCCAGTCTTGGGTAGAATTGCTTTTGTTGTATTCCTCAGTTGTAATACGTGTGATGATGTCTGCATTTTGGAGGGGGAAGTTTATATTTATTACCATTTAAAAGGGCAGTGGATATTTATTTATATAGGTTTCTGGGCTACTCCAGTCAGAATTGCTAAATGCATATACTCATCTCTGAACTGTGAGGAGCTTCAGAGATGCTAGCACTCACCTGGGTTTCCTTGGAAGCAGGTCACTGAAGACTGGTGGTGTTTCTGAGATTAACATTTATTTACACAGATATACATGCTGAGCATAAAATGAGGGTTTATTAGTTACAGATTTCTAGGACAATCCACAGTGTCCTAGGATTTCTTACAGAATAGCCTCATTTTACTGTTTTCTAGCACAAACTGCTTTTAAAAAAAATACATCGGCCCAGCAACTCACTCTTGAATTTTGAGATTGGGAGAAGCTGTATGTCCTACTGAAACCTTATGAAAAAGGGCTCCCAGTTTCTCTCATCTTTATTTCCTTACATTTGAA